CATGAACCTGTTATTTTGGAATATTAGAGGTGTAAGAGGCTCATTACCCAGGCTTCTTTCCCTCATCCAAATTCATAGGGTTCATTTTCTGGCTATTCTAGAGCCATTTGTTAAAGAAGAAAAAATTATCTCTTATGCTAAGAAATTTGGTTTCCAGTCCTATGTAGTGGCCTTAAACAACAAAGCTTGGATTTTTTGGGATGAATCCCACCTTCATTGTGTCAACAGAATCTTGGGTGATCAAATTATCAGCATCCTCTTTCACAACAATCTCCTCAACAAGGATATCCTTATTTCTACAGTTTATGGATTACATACTGAAGGGGAACGCCAATCTCTCTGGAACTCTATGATTAGCCATACATCCTCAGATACTCCGTGGATTGTTGGAGGTGATTTTAACATTATTTGCAGCCTAGATGAACACAGAGGACCTATCTTGCCTAGCTTTAAAGGTATGGAAGATTTCTCTTCTTGCATTGCTTTGTGTGATCTTAATAACATTTCACCTAAGGGCGGAATTTTTACGTGGCATGGGAAAAGATCCCAAGGCAAGGTCTGGAGGAGACTGGATAGGGCTCTTGTGAACACATATGCCATGAACTTCTTTGATGACATCACTCTTAACCACCTTAGCAGGAGTGGCTCGGACCACAAACCAATCCTCCTTAAAGGTGCTATAAACTCCTACAAAGGGCCCAAAATGTTCAGATTTCTCAACTGCTGGGTTTCTAATGACACCTTCATTCCTATGGTTAAACTGAATTGGGAAAAGTCTAGCAATGTGAATGGAATGTCAGGCTTTGCTGAGAAACTCAAGATCCTTAAAACATCGATTAAGGAGTGGAATGTTTCAACGTTTGGAGATATCTTCGAAAATGTTAAAATGGCTGAAGAAGAGGCACTTGCTAGACAAAACTCCTTTGATAATAATCCAACTAAAGACAACCGAGCTGCTGCAAACCTTGCATCAGCCAAACTTCTAAATGCATGTAAAAGGGAGGCTAGTTACTGGTTTCAAAAGTCTAACATTAAATGGATGAAGGAAGGAGAATCCAATTCAAAGTTCTTTCACTAGGTGGTCAAGGGAAAGAGGGCTAAACTCAAGATCACAGCTATAAAAGATGAGGAGGGAGTTAACCACATAGATAATAACAAAATCGCTACCCTAGCTGTTGAGCACTTCACAAAGCTTTTTGAAGAGAGTCCTTGCAAAGCTCCTGAGGAAACCCTGAGATTTATTCCATGTACAGTTACAGCCGAAGACAACAACTCTTTAAAAAAGCTTCCTTCTATGGAAGAAGTGAAACAAGCAGTGTGGTCGCTCAATGAAAATGCAGCTCCTGGTCCTGATGGCTTTAATGGCTTTTTTTCAGGGCCTGTTGGGATATTATCAAAATAGATCTCCTTAAGGCATGTCAGGAGTTCTTCTTAGGAGTTAAGGTTCCGGTTGCTTTTGCAAGCACAATTATCACCTTAATTCCCAAGGTAAACAGCCCCATCAAATGGAAAGATTTCAGGCCAATATCCTTATCAACATTCATGAGTAAGATTAACTCTCGTATTCTGGCAACGAGACTTAGCATAGTTATCAACAAAGTCATTGGGCCTGAGCAAGCTGGATTCCAGCAAGGGAAATCTGTTGATGATCAGATTCTCTTGGCTCAAGAGATGGCTCACCATCTTGAACGCAAGGTTGAAGGTGGCAACATCATAGTTAAGATTGATATGGCTAATGCGTTTGACAGAATGAGCTGGACATTCTTGGAGGCTGTTTTGGAAAAAATGGGTTTTGATGAAGATGTCTCAAACCTCCTCCTTTCTAATCTCAAGGCAACTAAAATGTCTATCTTATTCAATGGGTCACCTAAAGGGTTCTTTAGCATGAAAAGGGGTGTTAAACAAGGTGATCCACTCTCGCCGCTTCTTTTCATTATTGGCAGCGAGGCTTTAAGCAAATCCATCAACTGTTCTATTCAAAACCATTACATCAAGCCTTTTAACCACGGGAGAGGCCCTATTATTACCCATCTCAGCTATGCAGATGACTTGGTGGTTTTCCTTAATGCCAAACCTCGCAACCTCCTGCGCTTTATGTCTATCCTTAAAGAATATATCGCAGTCTCTGGCCAAGACATAAACTGGAATAAGTCTAGATTCTTTATGGGCTCCAAGGCATCTCTTTCCCATCGAGAAATAGCAAAACAAGCCCTTAACATGCAGGAGGGTAAGCTCCCTTTTACATATCTTGGAGGTATCATCACCAAAGGCAAACTTCATAAGG